TTTTATAATGCATATGCTGCAATGCATGAAAACACTAACACGGAATACATTTATGTAGTATTGATCATGTACAGAAAAAGCCCTTTGGATTATGCATGCATGGATGCCGAGAAAACGTATCGAACGCAGTGATAAACACTTTACCTCAATACTGCTATCGTTACATACATGCACATGTCGAAAGATATATCCTTTTAATTTACTTTTATTGCAATATGCATCTCAGAAGTCATGTATTCCAGTGATTTCTCAACATTAAAGAAATCGTCACTACATAGCACTTGGACACGTGTGGTCCATTCCGATCACTTTATTTGGTTACGGGAAATTTCAAAGATGGAAATCTCACTGATATGTTGGTTGATTAAAAAGATATGCAAATATTGTTTTTCCAAAAATGATTATTACTTTTGTCTGTAAATGTTGTAAATAAAATTGATGAACATGGCTTAACTACATCAATTTTTTTATACAACACGAGATTTTCCTGTGAAAAGGGGGTGGATTAACAAAACCTGCATAACATTCTTCTAAAAATAATTTAAACGAACGTCTGAAACAGGTCGGATTTCTTTACGACCAATTATTTCAAATGAATACTGTGTACCGTCTTTAATTTTTTTAAAAATAAGGATGTATTATAACTTGATTTAAAGTTATCTATAATTATATACACAATAAACAAGTTTGATTCTGTGGTACATGAATGATCAAAATAGAATTGATTGTGAAATCATTTAATTTCTATAAAATACTTGATTCTGATTGGATAAAAATTCTTTAGATAACTGCATCAATAGAATCTAGAGTTCGCTTGCACTAAGCAGCCGGGACTACTTTGGCAGTCTTTACATGTATATTCCCGCTTCAAGATTACCTTTTGAACGAATAATTAAATACTATTACTTTAATAAATATTTCCCTTAATTTCGGAACCTGTCCGTTACGTTCCTGACTTACTAGTATTTTCTACTTCTGTTTCTTCTTTTTGAATTATCCCCCTTTACTAAACAAATCAAATCGTCTTCATAACAACAGTACAGTTTTGGGAAAGAAGGAAAGAAATCGGAATACTTTTGTTTAATGTTTGACTTTGAGATATCTGGTATGAACAATGGGACTCTGAGGAAATGTTTTATGTACCAAAGCGGGGAAAACCGTTAATCTGTTTAAACTTGGGAAACAAATGATCGAGAAAAACGACACAGCATAAATGAGGACGGAATTCTTATAAATCTGAACCAGTCGGCAGCAGACCTTTTGAGGTCTTATAGCATTGACAGGTTGTGATTCGTTTTTTTATGTTCGGTTTTGTATGGCAAGTCAAACGTTGCAAAATTCGATCTTTTCCATTTGTATTGTAAAATTTTCCATTTGTATTGTATAATTTTTATTTGTATTCTATAATTTTCCATTTGTATTGTATAATTTTTATATGTATTCTACAATTTTCCATTTGTTTTGTATAATTTTTCATTTGTACTGTATAATTTTCATTTGCATTGTATAATTTTCCATTTGTATTATATAATTTTTCATTTGCATTGTATAATTTTTCATTTGCATTGTGTATTTTTCATTTATATTGTAAACAAATCATTTGTATTGTATAAATTTTCATTTGCATTGTATCCGAGGGATTGTTTATTTTGGTTTGTTACGAAGGATTTCATTGGTTTAATCTACTAATATTTCGGATTTGGTAATACCCGAGATATAAGTTCCGGGAAGTTTACACATGTTATCCGGTCTGAGCACAAGATGAAACACACACTTAAAGCTTGGTTTAATGGTGGCTTATAGGTCCTTAATGGTGGTTTAATGGTTGTCTTTAAGGCACCATTAAGTCACCATTAAGCACCTTTAAGTAACATTTACACCACCATTAAGTTACCATTAAGCCATCTCAAAGTCCTTAATTGGTGCTTAAATGTAGCTTAATGGTAGCTTAATGGTGGCTTACAGGTCCTTAATGGTAGCTTTTAGACAACCATTAAGTCACCATTAAGCTACCATTAAGCAAGACTTACAGGTGCTTAATGTCCAAACTCCATTAAGCTACCATTAAGCTACCATTAAGCCACCATTAATCCACCATTACGCAGTCGATATTACTGTTTTTATGGGTGAAAAATTATTATTATAGTGATTTGTCATCACAAATTATTCATGTCGAGTTCACACATATCTTCAGAAAACGAAGTTTAAAATTAAAAAAAAAGAAAAAAGCACACACGGGGCGCGAACTCATGACCCTTCGTATAGGTAGCAGTCACCTTAACCATTAGGCCTACGCCGCTCTTACGATGTAGAGGAAAATATCAGACATTTATTTTGCACAAAGTTGGTTTTTATTTTGTTGAACGTTTCCAAAGTCTTGAATTGATTTATTAATCAAACTATAAACAGTTTTATTTATGGGTCTTTTTAAAAGGCTTATATCACATTAATATTTCTAAACCGTTGAGTTCGGCTTTTAAATTGTAATGAATTCTTCGCTCTGTTATTCGAAGATTTATACATGTCATTAAATCATGATTGAAATTAAATTAGTTTTAAATAAAACAAAAAAATCTATCATCGGGAAAGACAGATGAATTTTGTTTTAAATAATAAAATATTCTGCGGATATAACGGATTTTGTGTCTAAAATTTAGACCTAGTGACAATCCTCCTTTACGAGTTACCTGGTTATGTTTACAAAGACTTTTTTTGGAATATCATATTCATTTAAAATTCTTTTTGTATCATAATGGGTATCAAAATAATTGTCCTTTTACAATGAATCATAATTTTTAATTTATTACATGTTTGCGTTAAATTTAAATTTTGTTAAAATAATTGATCATCAAATTTCTGTTTTTTATGCATAGTTTCCTGTTTGTTGACCGGGGACAGTGGACACCTAATTAAGGTCTATTTATGGCACGCCAAATTCACAAAAATGAGATAAACCTAGTTTCACATTTGATAAACTAGTTTTATCGACTGTAAACTATAGTTTACAAACCGTAAACTATAGTTAACGATTCGTTAAGTATAGTTTTCATCTGTAAACCTATATTTAACGGTTGTTAACTATAGTTTACGAATGATAATCTAAGTTTATCTGTCTGTAATAAGCGTTAACAATAGATTTTGTTGATAAACATATATTCACGTTTGTAAACAATAGTTTACAATCGTAAACTATAGTTAAGAGTTGTTAATCATAGTTTCACAAATCGTGAAACTATATTTATCAGATCGTGAACTATAGTTAACGGTTTGTAAACTATAGTTTACAAATCGTGAAACTGTATTTATTAGATAATCTATGTTTTGCAATCGCAAATGATAGTTTTCAGTGTTAAGTATAGTTTACGGTTGTGAAACATAGATTATCGCGTTAACTATAGTTTACAGATGTAAAATATAGATTAACGTTGTTAACTATAGTTTACAGTCCGTAAACTATAGTTTACAAACGATAAACCTAGTTTATCGATTGTGAAACTATGATTTGCTCATTTTTGTGAATTTGGCGTGCCGTATCTATTGTCTAACCACGCGGTATACTGTACACTGTTAATCTTACCCCGTTTCCCAATGTGTATAGATGTCATGTTTAATCTGATCGGCTGATCTTCTGAAAATCGATTTTGAAATAACAATCATTGAAGAAAAAATAGTGAATTAATTCATTCAAATTATTCATGATGTAAAAGGCAAACTTTGAAAACTAAACATTTTATACCTGTGGCCCCAGCCCGTGCCCTCTCCAAAAAAAAAAAAACAACACAAATTCATGAGAATATGACTTTATATTCCTGGGAATTCTGTAGCGGAAGATGTTGCTTTTAACACATGAAATAAAAATACCATCTCTCTTTCTTTTTTTCTTTTTTAAAGTAATTATTATATATTTTGTGTTCATGGAAACAGATAATTTTAAGAACAAAATGATTTTCGGTATTGAAAAATTAAGATATTTCACAGGGGTTGTCCCCGGGCGTGTAATAACATAATTATTTATTTTTTCTAAAACAAAAATCATATACACAAATATTAAAAACAACGTATGTAATAACTGTTTATTTTTTTTAATAAAAGCGTAGGCGGTAATAAGATAAAACGTCTTTTTTATTGTTACTGTAAATGATTAAAAAAAATTATTGAAACCGGGAGCAAGCCCCTGTGGCTTTTAGCTAACTTTATTCTTAGTGCCCGAGATTTTGCATGTTGACAGAAAAGTTATATAAAAGTGACGATCGAGACAAATTTATAGATCACAAAAAAATAGATTTTGTGTAAATGACATTGAAATAACTTAAAACGTTAGATCAAAGATTCGATATAAGATGCGTAAAAGTTTATTGAGGTTTAGCCATTAAGTCACCATTAAGCTCGGCTTAAAGGTGGCTTAATGGTAGCTTAATGAAATTTGGACATTAAGCACCTGTAAGTTGCAGCTTAATGGTGGCTTAATGGTGGCTTAACCCTTATCCTGCCGAGAAAGTTTTGGCTTATCAGCACAGCTGCTGCCGCGAAAGTTCAGTGTAAACAAAACAGTCAAAGATAATGCAGACAGCACTTTCTTATCTGCCTGTATTATCTTTATTTTCCCAGTTACTTATATACAACCTGTAGAAAACTTGTAGAGCATAAATTGATCTTTCAATTCATATAATTTTTATTTATAAAATCTCTGTATTTTTAAGATTATATACATATTTAAATACAAATTTGATAAAAATATATGCAATAAATGTGTTTATAAATAAATAAAGCTATGAAAAACAACACTTATTTGTGTATGTACAATCAAATTATAATAAATTCATTACATATAATTAGAATTATAATGTTTTTAAACTTAAAAAGTCTTTATCACAGTCATTTTGAGTCAAAATAAAAGCACCAGTAAGGTAACATGATTGTAATGTTTATAAACATTGGATTTAAAAGATAGATCCTTACTTTTATTTGTCTAATATTCCATTCCACATTCAAGATTAATTTCAATCAGAATCGGAACTTTCTTGTGGAGTGAATTTATATTTTTTTAAGGTATGGTAACGCTCGAAACAATTTGGCAAACAAAGTGGTACAGAGCATTGTCGACATTCAAATGTTGTTTGTTTTCTTTTGTTTCCTTGTCTCTCATTTACAGGTAAATTGCATACTATGCAATCACGCATCGGATTCTTTCTTTTTGCTCCTTCCTTAGGTTTAATATTTTGGATAAAATGTCTGCCAGTAAGTCTATCTATATTTTCGGATTTTCTGCCACCTCTGGATGGGCGTGGGGCATTTGGTGCTGATTCTAAAAGCGATTTTACAAGTTTTACTCTAAAGTCAAGATGAGATTTTTTCTTGATATTTCCACCATATTTTCTGTAAAGAATGTAGGCATTCACTAGGAGAAGATTAAAGAGATGAAGAAATAATTTTTTCCACCATTTTACACACTTTCTGAGAACTTCATAATATTGCACAATCTGATCATTGAGATCAACACCTCCCATTTTTTGTATGTATTCCACAATACATTTCGGTTTCAAAATTGGTTCTTGTGTCCTGCGGTCAACTTTGTCGGTAACCACTAATTTTGCTTCATGAATCGTAGTTAGCATATGGATGTCCCGTTTGTCGTGAAATTTGACAGCAAGTAGATTTTTTTTTCGCCGAAACACACCCTCCCCTTGCTTCATCTTACGAAGGGAGGAAAATATTTTTGGAACATTTTTCCTGTTAGAACGAAGGGTCCCACAAGCATAGGTATCTAGCAGATCTAATTCCTCATAAAGTTCTGGAGATGTATAATAATTGTCCATGTAAACATGGTGTCCCTTTGACAAAAGTCCTGTCATAGATAATAAGCCTAATACTATCTTAGAGGTCATAGTAAGGTCTCCGTAGTGATCGGTAGGTCCTTGGCCATTGTCAACTTCAGTTTCTAGAGTGTCAACAGCTGCAACACAATCTGTTTCCCCATGGTAAACGTCAAATCCTAAACAATATCCCGAGGAGGCCTCACATACTTGATACAATTTTATACCAAATTTGTTTGGTTTGTTTGGGTTGTAAACCCGGAAATGTACACGTCCTTTGAATGGGCAGGTCCCCTCATCAAAACTAAGGTCCCTTTCGGGATCATATTTTGTGAAGTTTGTTTTCATCATTGAAAGAAAAGGACGAACCTTGTATAATCTGTCATATCCTACGTCTCCACGATTTGGCGCCACGCTGTTATCTGCCAGATGTAACATAGACAAAATCAGTATGAATCTGTTTTTTGACATATATTTACTAAACAATGGGGTATTGAGAATTTCATCAGTTGACCAATAGTCTCCAAGGTCATTTTTCCTAGTGATCCCCATCGAAATTATCAAAGCAAAGAATACTTTGACCTCATCAAGTGTCAGGTCTTTCCAATCATGGAAGCGGCTGTTTGGTTTTAGAGTTTCTTTTGCAATATTTTGTTCTGCATATAGGTTAGTTTCTGTCACAATTTTTTGCCAAAACTCACTGTCAAAGAGAAGATAGAAAAAGTCTAATGGAGTTGGATTCTCAGGTAAATCACATGTAAGACCAACATGGGAATCAAATGGCATCAACAAAGGGGGATTGTCATTCCTCTCCCATCCCCATGCTGAATCCTCTGTGTTTTCTTTGTCCCCTCTACACTGTTCCATTTCTAATTCCTGCACAATATGGGCTTCCCGTAAGATTTGTTCAACCTCAGCATCACTATCCTCCTCATCAATTGATTCTTCATCTGAACTTCCATCCAAAATTCTATCTAATACTTCATCTAAATTGAGACCACGCGCATTTCTGTCAGCCATTTTTGCAACTTTCTTTGTTTTGATACTTCACTCATTTTGCCCCAGATTCCTCATCTAACATCACTGATTGGGTCAGTATTTTTATAAAACTAATTTCATTGGTCTGTATTTTTGTTACTTTTATTCATGAATCTTACTACAGTGCTTAAAATAACCTGGAATGTAGCATCATATGAGGAAACCCCCCAAAACGACCTGAGGTCGCGATTGGCAGCAGCTGTACTGATAAGCCATCACGACTCTGGGTCGCGATTGGCAGGATAAGGGTTAAAGGAGTTAACTTCTTTAAGCACCATTAAGCTAACATTAAGCGATTGCTTAAAGGTGGTCTTTCGTCTTGTGGAGCATAGACTGGCTTGTCTGTCTGATCCTCGATATACAGACAGGTGACCAGTAATGTAAAGGGCCGCGCTCACTGGCTATCAATTATAACGGCTGATGTCTCTGCAATCTGTCGCATAGGCGTCGGAAGTTGGTTTTACAATAGGAAAAGTTCAACATTGAAAGGGATTACCCATAGAGTGGTCAAAACCTACAACCCCAAGATTTACTATGTAAATCCACGATTCTTTTATGCCACAACAGTCATAAACCGGGGGATCTTAGCCCCCCCCCCCCCACTTTTTTTGCAAAATATTACAAAATTATGGCCCGTGAAATTTTTTTTTACCTTTTTTTTAGTTCGCCCTCCGCCCCCACCCAACCCCACTTTTGATTAGCCCCCCCCCCCCCCCACTTTCAATTTGCTTCCGACGCCGATACTGTGATCTGTTTTTTGTTTCCCCGAGACGGAAACCAAAACAGATCACAGCATGGGCGTCGGAAGCAAATTGAAAGTGGGGGGGGGGGGTAATCGAAAGAGGGGGGCTAAACCAACCAAAAAAAGGTAAACAGGCACTCTCATGGGCGTCGGAACCGGGGGGGGGGGGGGCTTTGTAACAAACTAAAATAAACAATCCCTCTGATACAATGCAAATAAAAAGTTATACAATACAAACGGAAAATATAGGATTCAAATAAAAAATCATATAATACAAATGATTTTTTTACAATATAAATGAAAAATTATACAATGCAAAAGAAAAAATATACAATGCAAATGAAAAATTATACAATACAAATGAAAATTATAGAATGCAAATGGAAAATATAGAATACAAATGAAAAATTATAGAATACAAATTAAATCATATAATGCAAATGAAAACATAGGATACAATAAAAATTATAGAATACAAATAAAAAATTATACAATACAAATGGAAAATTATAGAATACAAATAAAAATGATACAATACAAATGAAAAATTATACAATGCAAATGAAAATTATACAATACAAATGGAAAATTTTACAATACAAATGGAAAAGGTCGAATATTGCAAAGTTAGACTTGCCATACGGTTTGAAATTCAGATGAGAACGTTTCTTCGTTAGAGCCATTTTGAATTTCAGCAACGTTAACATTGTTATGATGTATTCTTGCGCACTATTTTTGATGATTAAATTTAATAGAAAAGTGAAAGAAAGTTTCATTTTATAAGCATAAAATCATTAAATGATAAGAAATGAATGTAATATTTTTCCTTTGATCGATGTATCAAAGAAAAAAAAATTGGACGGAAAACTTTTTCATTAATGCGCTACGCGCATTGATGAAGTGATCCGTCCAAACTTTTTCTTTCATTCATCGATCAAAGGAAAAAATATTACATTCATTTCTTAATTGTATTGCTTGACATATAAGATGATTAATAGTCAAAGTGTATAGGAAGGGAAACCAAACTGCCTATGAGAATTCCATACATAAAATTAACAATTCTTTTTTAATCCATTTGTGTAAATATTTTTTTGTCAAGATTATACCTGAGAAGGTATTTGAGAAAGGCCCTAATGTTTCCATTCCTGAGATGGAAAATTCACGTTTATTCAATTTCAAATTGGGCGTTAGATTTATTTTTCTTGTTCAATGTGGAAAAGAGTTGATAAAAATTATCCATATTCAACAAGGTTTAAATTATCCCTTCCCTACCTTTTCAAACTTTCTCCCAAATATTCCTACAAGAAATTATTATTTATAAAAAACAAATTAGACTGTAAGACAGGGATACTAAATCTCGAAAGACTTTCTCTTCTACATAATTATCAAACAGTCACATGGCTTAATATGTACATACTTTGTAGTCGGAGTGAGATATTCAAAAAGATCTCAAAATTGGATTTTGCAGAAAGATCTGTTTTCCAAGTATATTTAAATAACGGTCACATAAATTCGTCCCCTCTCCCCGCTTAAAAAACTAGATGCTGTCATGAGACAGTAATACCCGCACTATGGTGCTTGCCTCTAAATATACACTCATTCATATTGGACTTTCCAAGGAAGAAGTCAAAATAATTCTATAATTATCACCGTACATGTATTCGTCAAATTGAACATAAAATTTTCAGATGACCATATCAACTCTGAGCCTCACATATGTATTTTAAAATACTTAATTCATAACCAGTCTGAAATAACAGAATTTAACTAGTGCTAATTGTAACGGAGACCGTTACAGATGTTCCCCAAACGCTCCCCAACTCCCTTTTGGTGCCATATTCCCTGTAAGCTTTATTAAAAAAGACAAACTGTGTGCATGTGCAAGATGATCATACCTTCTTGTAGGAGTCCCTTAATTATCTATGTTCTAAATCCCATCCTGTTTGGATGAAAACCAAGGGAGTTATAGCCATTTAAAGTTTCAGCCAATCAGATTGCAGCACACGTGCAATCGCGTGATTTCATGAAAATTTTTCAATGCCATATTGTAGGATATGCTAATGCATGACTATGTTTTAAATTTCAAACCATTTCGTCAAAAAACAAAGGAGATATAGCCATTTCAAGTTTCAGCCAATCAGATTGCAGCACACGTGCAATCGCGTGATTTCATGAATTTTTTTTCTGCCATATTGTAGGATATCCTAATGCATGACTATGCTTTAAATTTCAAACCATTTCTTCAAAAAACAAAGGAGATATAGCCATTTCAAGTTTCAGACAATCAGATTGCAGCGCACGTGCATGCACGTGTTTTCATGATAATTTCTATATATCATGTTGTAGGATATCCTAATGCATGGCTATGTTCAAAATTTCAAAGGATTTCGTCAAGAAACAAGAAAGATATTGGGACTTTAGTGTTAGCCAATCAGATTGCAGCGCACGTGCATGCGCGTGAGATCTTGCTATTTTGACCACGTCATCTTGTCTATATTACTAATATATCCTTACATTATGAGTTTCAAAGCATTTCATCAAAAATAAAAAAAGTTACGCCTATATCAATTAAATCGGTCATTTCACTGTTGCACGTGCGAGCTCTTGCAAGCACGTGCGCGCAAAATGACCTTTGTTCGGCAAATCTACATAACATGTCTACTGACCCTAAAAACATTTTACCTTAGTCGGATGTGTAGTTTACAAGATCACTCGCGGACAAAATTTTCCCAGGAAGAAAAATAATAATAACTAGATACGATCTCGTTGCGAGCAACGAGAGGTCTTCCGTCCGTTTTAGGAAAAGAAACCCACGTAAAATCGAGCTGAAAAGAGATTCAAAATTTTGGTCACAAGGAGGATTGAAACCATGTCGCCAACGTGAATGCGCTTTTTTTTTACTTTTATATCCCCAACGCGCTAACCATTAAGCTATTGGGAGTACTGCTCTAAATATACTTGTGTATACCACGGTACTTTTGCAACAGTTCACCTGTCTAAGAATTATAAAAAGCATTCATAATTTCGCGCCAAACGCCACGAGTAAATATTCGAGCCTTTTCTTTTGACTGATCTATTAGATATGTATGATAGCATCAATTAAATTTTAAAAATAAAATATTCTTAGCGCCTTTATTTTATTTTGACGTTAAGAAAGTATATGTAACACATTATACACATTACATATCGTATCTAGCCCAGTTACACTAAAGCAGTGAAACGGAAATTAAGTTTTAAGATTGACACTCAATTGCAACGTACTACTGTAACGTGTCGGATCTGAGCGGTCAGTAGGTCCGTGCTCGGATTACCGAGTTTTACTGGGGATATGATTGAATGCAATATATACAGATAATAATATGACACCTGCCTGGTGTCTTTAAATCAAATGACCTAAGTGCTTTGTATAATTATATATCTTCAGTTAATACCGGCACCTGCCTGGTGCCATATGATAATTGCCTCACTATACTCGTACAACTGACTATATAAGTCAACATCTATCTGCCTGGTGCCTCTTGATTTAGCCTTTCACATCTGCCTGGTGTATAACTGCTTACCAAGTTGCCTATATAACTCTAGCCAAGTGGCTACAATATACTTACACAGTGTGATTTAACTTTGTAAGAGCTTCTCTGTCCTAATGACAAACCCATGGCTAATGTCACACAGCTACATTTTAACTAGTTACTGACTACGGCAACTTTGCACAATCCTATTTGATCGATAAACCAATTGGTTTATGTTTCAAAGTGAAGACACAAGCCAGTTGGCTGTACTGCCCCCTTGTACCTCAACTTAATCAATGATTATAAGTTATCAGATATCATATTGATAAAATAAAACAGACTGTCTTTCTTTTGGCAACATTATCATTTTTTTCTAACAGAACATCATTTATCAATAATACTTGTATACTTCTTTAGTCAATTGACCAATTAATTACAATATTTACATTGATTATCTATTATAATATAAACAAGTAACGGGAGGTAACTCCAACCATTTCACTACTACGTGAGAGTCGAAGTAGTTTTTTACATTTCATGTATCCTTATGTCAGAATGGATTAATCAAACGCTCAGCTGCCTCCATAAATCCCTACTCGCGAAATGGCGGAGTTGACAGAGACAGCCGCCATTTTGGACACGCTTCAGATTTTTGAATGCAAATATCTAGACTTTAGATTTATCAACATTCAAACAAATTAAATAGTAAGCATTATAAGGAGGGCTTCTAT